GGTTTGAATATCAAAGATGTGCTCCCAGGAGACTCCTTTGCTATCTCTGGAGAATAACTAGCCCTGGTAGGGGCGGTGTCTTCAGGATCAAGGCCCTAAATGCTAGAGCATCAATAATACAGAAATGAGAATATACAGTCAATATACCTGCCTATGCCTCAAAACACCTTGTGTATTTTCACCCTCTCTTACAACATTCATCTCCACCCATGAAGACATATCTGGGCTGGCCTGCAGTCAGATGACAGCACATGAAACAGAAATGAGTCAACTCTCCTGAGACCATGCTAAGCCAACCATCCCCCAGCCAATCCACAGGTTGATTGCAGATGCAGGAGTACATCCATCCATCCAAGATCAACCAAACCCACCCCAGGTCAGCAGAAGCACCCAGCTTATATACACACTCCAGAGCTCCATAAATGCTTGTTATTGTAAGTCAATGTTTGTGGTGGTTTGTTATGCAGCAGGAGCTAGCTGATACACCATAGCTCTCTCACCACAAAGCTGTTTGGCTTAACTGCCTGGCAGTATTTCATCAAGTGCCTTGACTCTTCTCACTTCTCTCTTTATCACCAACTTTGTTCCTAAAATTCCACAGTTGTTTCTCCTGTGCCTAGAGAAATTTTAATGGTGTTGCTAGAACCCATTTCCTGCTTTCAGTGCCTCCTTTCTTCAACCACTCAACAAACATTTAAGGTGTGCCATTACATGTGTCAGGCTAGGAGGAAAAGATGTAAGTAAAATAGACATAGGACTGCCACCAAAGAACTTCCAGGAGAGAGGGTAATTCAATAAGTAACTGCAGCAGAATTTGTGTCATTAAATAACTTTATGCAGAATTCATGTCATTCTCCATGTGAAGTGCTCCAACCTGCAATGAAATTGCAGCCTCCGTGCTCAGCCGGAATGCTCAGTGCCCACCTGACACAAGAGCAGGTGCTAGCAGTGTGGGGAAGCCACACTCAGAAATGAGCAGCTGGGCTCACCCTGTGAGCTGGGAACACCAGCTCTGAATCCCAGGAGTCACTGCAGGGCTGTGCCTAGCCCCTCCGGCATCTACCAAGAGAAGGTAGCAGGGCCTGCCTGTGTGCACGCAAGGCTGGAAAGAGGGCATGGGTCTTCATGGCTTCCACCCATGAGACACGTGCTGCCTGAAAGCCATGTCAGGGAGGGAGAGGGGCCAGCAGCAGATGTTTTCTAGATGCTTTTAGTTTTCAGGGAAAATAAATGCATTCCAGCAAGGCCTGAGTTCTGGCCCTTTACATAGAGTCCTCAGTGTCTGTCCCCAGGAGGAGGCTGGTTTGCTCCCATAACCTCCTTCACACCATATCCAGACTCTCTCTGTGCCATTCTCTGTGGCTCTGCCCCCATCCTATGACCCTCTCCAGTGCCTCAGGGGTATTTTCCCCACTGGGATGTGAAATTCACACCATGGTCATCTCTATGCCCTATGGAGCCTGGAACCGGTTGAGTTCTCAATGAATGTGAGCGGATTGTGGAACCTGGGACTGCCCTGGCTGCTGGGCTACACCTCAGGAAGGGGGTCTACTCCTCCATGTTCCATCTGGCCCCTTTCAGCCTCTCCCCAGTGGCCATCCTGGGGCTGGATGGGCCAGGACACAGCACAGAGTGGGGGAGACCAGCGCGTCCTGAGCGCCGGCTGTGTGTGGAGAACTGTGCCTTCATCGGCTCATTTGATCCTCACAGCAAGCCTGTAGGGTGGTGAGACTCAGCCCATTTTGTTTATGAAAAACTGGAGACATGGAGCAGTGACGGCCCAGGGCTTATGGCTGGGGCTTCCTGAGCTGTATGTGAGTCAGGATGCCCCTGGCTCCTCAGCCTGGCTCCTGCATGGTGGTGGAGAGAGCCCCTCCCCACACAGCCCCCGTGAAGATGCTCCAGAGTCCTGGAGGAGGGCTTGGGAGGGAGTAGAAGACAAAGCACCAGGAAGCAGTAGGAGGGGCAGTTGGGGGGAACCTGCACCCAGTCGGCCTGCCTGGGCCTGTCTCTCTCCCTCCCACAAGCCAGACGACCTTTGGGCAAGTCACTTCACTCCTCTGAGCCTCAGTGTCCTCATCCACAACCCCAGGCCATAAACCCATCTGCCCGGGTTTCTGCGGGGGTAGCTGAGCTCGACGCTTGTGGAAGTGCCCGGCGCAGACCTCGGCCTGCTGGAGAGGGGCTGGAACTGAGCCTCCTGCACCATATGGAGAAGGCCTGGGACTAGAACCCGGGGTTCTGATGCCTGACTCGACCCTCCTCCCCTTCCTCCTATTTCAAAGGCTGCAACCTCTGGCCCCAACCCCCTTAGACCCAACAGTGAAGCACATAGGGCCCCTCCTTTGGCCCTGTGCCCTTCACAGGCATTTGAAGACGCCAGAATTAATTGGGCACCGCTCACATGCCTGACCGTGACCACAGCTCCAGCAGCAGCCCCTTTTCCGTCCCCCTCCCGCCTCTCATGATCCCACATCCTGCAGTAGCTGAGCCAATCTGCGGGAGCCCTGATGGAGGGTGGGGCCCTCTGAGGACTACTGCGCATTCCCTGTAATGACGTCCATTACGCTGTCTGACATCAGGACCGTTCTCAGGTTAATATGTTTAACTTAATGAGGCTTTTATTTCCTGATAGAAAACTCCTGAAGAAGCATGTTTGCTCCTGATGAGCTCAGCTGATGAATAGATTAATACCAGGCTTGAGAAGCTGACCGAGAAAACAAATCCAACCAGTTTATTTTTCTTCTTCAGGTATGGGCTGAGCTAGAATTAATTTGAGTTAATTGTCATTTCTAAGGGGAAGAAACAGGAAGAGGATCCCTACCTGGCCCTGTGACACATCCTCCAAGTGCCTGTTCCCCTCCCCACACCCCCAGCCCCAGCTCCAAGCATATCAAAAGAAGAAGGGCCAGCAGATGATGAGGGAGGAAAGGGATCCTGAAACCAAGCAACAGGAAACTGAGAGCACGGACAGGAAGTTCTCGCATGATGACAGTGACAGCGACAGCAACCGCAGTGACAGGGCAGGGGGTCCGGCTGGCCCGTCTTGGTCATTCGTGGGGTTCACCATTATCACCCCAGCACCCAGCACCCAATGGGGACTCATAGATATTTATTAAAATAAGTAAAAAGGATACTTAACAATGATGACTGTTACTGCGGATCAAGGAGTCACATGATCCCAAGAGAGAGAAGATGCTCAAGGTCCCAGACACATCTGATGGGTGAACCAGAGTTCAGCGACTCCTGCCCCAAGAGCCACAGATGACCCAAAGGCTAATTTTCTTTGGTGCCTTGCCAATGCATTTTCCTACATCTCTCTCACTGCCATCCATGAGCAATGCCAGCCAGCACCCACTACTCTCCCTTCCAGAAACAGGCTTCCAGGTCATGTTGATTCAACACCTTCTCCTGTCCAAGCCAGAAGCAAATCGTTGAGTGATACTGATTTTAGGAAAATTGATTAATGGTTCAAACAGGTGCTGTAACAAACCTGCACGATCTGTGCATGTACCCCAGAATGTAAAGTATACTAAATAATTTTTAAAAAAAAAAAGAAATAAAGGTTTAAAATTTTTTTTAAAAAGATGACTTTCTCTTGGTTTAAAAATTAAATAAATATAAAGTGGCATGTTCTGAGAAAGAAAAATAAATAAATGTTGGAAGATACACACACCTGTGCACGCACACGCACACACGCGGGCACACACACACACACACACACACACACACTTGAATTTTCCCAAATCAAACCCCTTCTTCTGTAATCAACTTTTTCAATGGGATTTTTTTTTTTTTTGAGGCAGAGTCTTGCCCTGGAGTGCAGTGGCGCAATCTCGGCTCACTGCAATCTCCGCCTCCTGGGTTCAAGCAATTCTCCTACCTCAGCCTCCCGAGTAGCTGGGACTACAGGCACGTGCCACCATGCCATCAATGGTATTTTTAAACTAGGTATAATAGCAAACAATATTCACACAAGCAGTAGATCAAGTGTACCTTACTTGGAATGAAACTGACAGCCACTTTAGATCAGAAAATGTAGCTACTGTTGGGATCTAAAGAGAAGATACAGCTCCAGGGCAAGTCAGCCTCCAGCTTTTCAAAGACCGACTTCACACTTGTTGGGCTTTGCTCTTGTTGCAAGTGTCAGTCCGGAAATTCCTAGACAAGGTTGGACATCTTCCTGGAGCGTAGAGAGTAGACACCACATCAAAGTGCGGACGTTCATCCTCCTGGGGCTGGAATTTCTGTGTGGAGCTAGGAGCTGAACCGCAGCTGGCTGGGTGATCTTGAGGTCATTGCTTTCTCTCTTTGTGCCTCAGTTTCTCCAATGCATAAATGAGGGGCTAGCTGGTCTCTGATGATTCCTCTAATATAAAATTATAATAAGTGAAAGTAAAACTAGGATGAAAGAAGGCAAATGAGCACACTGTGGGAAGGAGGAAGGAAGGATAATCCTGGAGGAAAATGCAAAGAACAAGAGAGGAAACGTCATCCGAGGTGAGAATGCTGTGACTACCCCGGATAAATGACGCCGCAGAGTTGCCTAGACACCATCACCTCCACTGTCTCAGGCCTCATAGTCCCAGGAGGTGGATTAACCCCATTTCATGAATGTGACAGCTGAAACTCTGAGAGGGGGCAGTGTGCCCAAGGTCACACTGTGAGTCAGAGAAAGAAAACAGCGGGAGAGGGGGGTCCTGCTGGCGACAGCCTCCAGGGAGTGTCCAGAGGTGAGGCCAGATCTCCCAGCGCTAACTCCAGGGCCCTATTCCTCAGTCTCTGCATTGCCCACAGCCTGCTGGGCACCTCCTGGACACACTGTCAGTGCCACCAAGATGGGTGCCAGCATCTTCCATCACATAGCTGGGCATGGAGCAATTGGAACTTGAGCCCAGGACCAATCGACTCTGAAGTTCTTGCACTTTCTGTCCCATGACATTCCCCCTCCCAGTAAATCACATGCCAAGGTTTGGCATTCTCTCAACATAAAGTTTTCTGTCCATCTCTTCCTCTTAGACTCAACTGCCCACCTTTGAAGCGTAGGAAGAAAGGCCCAGGATCCATCTCCACACCAGTCTATGAACCCCACAAGGGCAGGACCCACACTGGGTTTAACAAAGACCCCCCCTCCCCGTGCTCAGTAGAGCACTTGACCCATGGACCCCCAGGAGGAAGGTCAGGATGTGAGGGAGGCTCTGCCACCAAGGAAGGCCCCAGTGTGGGGAAGGCAGCCAGGTCACACCAGACCCAGAGGATGCCATTCAGAGTGGCTTGAGAATGTGTCTCCAGGAGCCAACATTAGGACCCAGGAACAGAGAGTCCTGCACCAAAGACCCAGGGAAGGACAAAGACCGGGAGGGAGAACTGAGCAGCAGGCTCAGGGGACCTGAGGCAACCCACAGACCAGGTAAGGTCATGGGAGGGCAGGTTGCTCAGGGACAAGTCTGTAGACAAAGCCTCATAAATTGAAAGAACCACTTTGCAAAACTGTTCAGCAGTCTCTTTTGATGCTGAACCTGTGTGTAATTTATGACTCAGAAATTCCATTCCTAAGTATCTGCCCAACAGAAATTCACCCATATGTTCACCAAAAAGCACTTGCAAAAACCTTATAGCGGCACTGTTCACAACAGCCCCAAACTGGAAAGTACTCAGATCTCATTTAGAGTTAGACGGGTAAACAAATCGCTGCATAGTCATACAATATACAAACATCACACATCAATAAGAATCAACAGCATGCAACTCAACACACCGACCTGGATGAAACACACACATGATGTTGAACAAAGTGGAAACGAAACACGCATGAGCGCCAGACGGTGTGAGTGCATTTGTATGAAGTCCCGGAACAGGCACAGGTGATACGTGGTGTTGGAAGGCAGGACGCTGCTCATCTGTCTCTACCTGGAGAAAGAGTGACAAGCAGGGGTGTGAAGGGGATCCTGGAGTCCTGGTAACATTCTCTTTCTTGATCTGCACTGGTCCCTTAGGTGTATTTAGTTTCAGAGAGTTTTTTTGTTTTTTGTTTTCTCTAAGACGGAGTTTCGCTCTTGTCACCCAGGCTGGAGTGCAATGGCGCCATCTCGGCTCACCGCAACCTCCGCCTCCTGGGTTCAGGCAATTCTCCTGCCTCAGCCTCCTGAGCAGCTGGGATTACAGGCACGCACCACCATGCCCAGCTAATTTTTTGTATTTTTAGTAGAGGCGGGGTTTCACCATGTTGACCAGGATGGTCTCGATCTCTTGACCTCGTGATCCACCCGCCTTAGCCTCCCAAAGTGCTGGGATTACAGGCTTGAGCCGCCGCGCCCAGCAGTTTCAGAGAGTTCTTTAGCCATACGCTTACCATTTGTGTTCTCCCGTCGGTGTGAGTCTCACAGTACATTAGGCTACACTAAAAGGTTTTCTTTAAAAAAAAATAGGCCCCAGGGCCCTCTTGAGTGAAATGCCCAGAATATGCCAATGGGCCTGGCTGCAATCCCACCTGACGGACACACCCAACACACTATATATGAACAAATCATTCATTGTTGAATGATGAATGAATGAACAAATTGGCAACTGCATGGAGCATTGAACAAATGAATGGACTGAGGAATCATGAATCAACAAATGAGTGCAATGACAAATGAAAGAACAATCAGGGGAAGCAGAAACAAACCAAGGTGCGGATCGAGGGATACATGAACACGTGATGACCGCATGAGTAAAACCAATGAATGAAAAATACCGGTCAAAGAGGCAAATGAATGGGTATTGAAAAACAATAATCGAAAGAGTAATTGTGCAAATGCATAATGCTTACATGGACAAGTGGTTCAGTGTGTTCTTGCTGGACATGAGGGGATGTCATCCCTAGAGCAGAAAACTCCCACCTCGGAGGAAAATGTCTCCACTCAGACCTCTGGGACCCAGGTCTTAGCAAATCAGCATGTTCTCCTCCCAGCAAAGGTTCCTAAAGTGACTTCAATTCAGATGTAATAAGAGTATGATTGAGCAAATGTCGCAAACACGGCTGAGTATGCCGTGCACTCCCCAGGATTAACTCCGTGTTCTGTGGAAACTGCTAAATGGAACTGACTGCGTTGTTTTGCCAATTATGTGGCAGATAATTACCTGTTACGTAGCAGAACCCCAGGATGATTTTAATAATCACTATTTAAACAACACATTTTTACTGCCTCCTTACAAATTAACCTCCAGGAAGTGTAATTAATGTCAGTATGGGAAAGCTGGCAGGGTGACCTGGGAAAGAGGATGGGTCGAAGCTGTGGCTGCGATTGTCCTGTGAGACCCCGAGGCCACGTGATGCTGAGGCCAGAGCTCAGGTCGAGAACTCAAAAAACCTGGGTCCAGGACATCAGACAAGTCTCGCCCCATCTTGGTCACTTTGCCTGTTAAACTAGGAGGATCCCCTAAGTCCCCGAACTCACTAGGACATTAGGAGATCTGACCACAGGCCTGGAACAGAGTCAGCGTTCATCACACAGACGAGACTGCACATCCCGCATTGTGGGGGGCAATGGGGTCTTTTCTTGACCTGTGCTGCCTCTCCAAACTGAAGGCAGGGACCGAGTCTCCCTTCTCAGTGCATCTCAGCACTGGTATGGAGCCTGGCACGAAGTAGGTGCTCAGTAAGCACTGGTTGAAAGAACAAATTAACCCCATCACATACTGTGTGTTTTGTAAACTGCCTTTATAAACACAATATGATTTGAAAGACACATGGCCACTTACCAAATGCTCCTCCGTCTGGTCGTGGGTGTCCAGATCCCGCCTCACTCCCGGCCTGTCCGTGCTTCCAGTTTACCCCCTCAGAATCTTCCTCCCTCGGTGCCTCTGCCACTTCTGTCTGATGCCTCTAGCAGCTGTGAGCCTAGAGAGGGTAGAGCTTCCAGTTTACCCCCTCAGAATCTTCCTCCCTCGGTGCCTCTGCCACTTCTGTCTGATGCCTCCAGCAGCTGTGAGCCTAGAGAGGGTAGAAAAGCCATTTGGACTGTGATGAAATACCTATCGCCAGGATCCGAATGAGGGGCCGGGAGTTGTGCTTTGAGGAAATAAGATGTGTCTGGGTGTCCACATTCACCCTGACACGGGGCCGGCATGGACAAGAGGTCAGCTTGCAGAGTGACCTCAGAGCCCAGCTCTTTCCCTCCAGGGACAACAGGGACCCAGTCCCACAGGGGCTACCCTGAGAGCACAGGTCCCTTGACCGCAGACTTGATGCGTCCCTGCCGTCCTTTGGGCAGGGTGAACGCCATGCGACTAGCCTGCCTTTGCGACCTGGGAACTTCTGCCTGCTTCCAGAGGAGAGGGAGAGCTGGAGAAGGGCAGCCCCAGAGCGGGGAGGGACTCCCCTTTTCAAGTTTGGCACATTCTTCAAATTGTCCCTGATCACCGCAAATTGCTCTTGGAAGAAGAAGCTCTAGAAAGATAAGAGAAATAGAAGTGGCTTCTATGAAATGAGGCCAAACTCCTTTTATACAATTAAACATGGGCATTTAAAGCCTTTTCACACTGGCAGGTTCTTCAATTAAGTGATTGGAGGTTTCCGGCTGTTGGTTTCTCAGATGTCTGTCTTTGGAAGAGTCTAATCTGCACAGGCTAGGAAACAAATACCCACCCTATTCTCAATGTCACAGGATCCCTTTCAAGGACAAAGTCCAGAGAAGGACACAGAGATGATTAAGGGGGAAAAGCCAGTTAGTCCCATAGGAGGAAAGAATGAAAGCGGTATAATGATATTATGTATTACATGAACTTAATGAATAAGTTTCATAATGAGTATTGATTGAGACATTCCTATGTACCAAGCACTGCTCTGTGCATTCATGTATTTCATCTTCATAACAAACCCGTGAGGCAAGTATCATTTTTATCCCCATTTTACACATGGGAAAACTGAGACACAGAGTAGTTGAGTGGATTAAAAGAAGGGGAAGTGGCAGTATGCGTGCCCAGACTTGAGTCAGGCAAGTCAGAGTTCACATCTCTCTCCATTGAGACCCTCACCAGCTGTGTGGCCTTGAACGAGTGAGTGCATGTCTCTAAGACCATGTTCTCCTCTGTAAAATGAGGAATAGGATATGACCCCAGCAGGACCTGGAGAGATGAGATGCCCATCTCCTTCCCTGAGTTGGAATCAATGCTGACACTCTGCCAGTTGGTGGCAGGCACATTCAGGCCCAAGCACACCCAGAGGAGGATGCCAGTTCCTTAGCAAGAGGTAGACTAGCTCATCTACCTGCCGAGGACTGCACTTGGTCTGTGGGACACACAGAAGGTGCAGAGACCTATAGTCCCAGCGTCCTTTCCAGAGCCTAAATCCAATACCAGAGTGGTGGACACTCAGCACCTATTCTGAAAACCTTTTTAGCAGAAGAGCTGACTGCCACAGTCAGGCACAGAGTCTTGGGTAAACACGTACAGAGCAGAGTGGATGGATCATGTAGATGCATGTTAACTTTAAAAAAAGGAAAAAAAAAAAAAAAAGGCCAGCCATGGTGGCTCACGCCTGTAATCCCAGCACTTTGGAAGGCCAAGGCATGTGGATCATGAGGTCAAGAGTTCAAGACCAGCCTGACCAACAGTAAAACCCTGTCTCTACTAAAAACACAAAAATTAGCCAGGCATGGTGGCATGTGCCTGTAATCCCAGCTACTCAGGGGGCTGAAGCAAGAAAATCGCTTGAACCAGGAAAGCAGAGACTACAGTGAGCTGAGACTGCACCATTGCACTCCAGCCTGGGCAACAGAGTAAGACTCTGTCTGAAAAAAAAAAAACAAATTGCCACACTGTTTTCTGTAGCCTAACATTTTCTATTCCCACCAGCAATGTCTGAGGAGTCCGTTCTCCCACATTCTCATCAATACTTGTTATTTTCAGTCTTTTTAATTTTAGCCAGTCTGGTGGGTGTAGATGGCACCTCATTATAGCTTTAATTTGCATTTCTTTGATGACTAATGATGTTGAGCATCTTCTCTTGATTTATTAGCCATTCATATATCTTCTTCTTTGATCATTTTAATGAAAAACACATTTGCATTCAAACTGAAATTATATTGTCAACAGTTAATTATCACTTGTCAAACAAGTGTGTGCCCGGGTTGTGGGTTTCGTTTTCACGTCGGTTTGCAAATGTCTCATTCCTCTTATTTGACAAGGCCTCTCTGAGCAAAAGACATTCATTGTTGGAAATGATGCTTTTTTTTAAGGAGTTTTAAAAATAAATAGGTTTGCCTGGTGTCTGAGTCAGGGCTCTTTGCAAGTAATAGGAAACCATTCATTCCAGCTTAAGGCAAAGAAAAATTGTGTGTGGAGGGGTATTGTACCAGGCTGGAGGAGGGCAGGGGTAAGGGGAAGTTTCTAATGGAACTTGCAGAAGACCGGCCTACCAGAGCCTGGAACTAGGGCCTGAAACCCCAGCTGGGACCCCAGACAGCCACTCACCCACCCACCCCACCCTGCAGCTCATCTCCGCTTCCTCTGAGCATCTGTTTCATTCGCTCTACAGCTTGTCTTCCCTGCTTCTCTGCTCTCACCAGAATGACCCTTCCTCCTCCCTTGAAATCACACATCCTTAGGTAAAGGGTAGCAGAAAATGACCTAATAGGTGAGTCATATCCTTGTTTGGCTGCTGACTCTCTGATGCCCTGGCAAATCCTTAGCCTGACAAATCTGTACCTGTCACCAGGGCCAAGTCCTGGCTGGCTTATTTGTGCACATGCTCACATGCTACATATCGTCACACAAGTACAGCACTTTACTCTTGGCCAAGGACGCAGAGAGGGCCAGCCTGTCAGTTCAGGCCAGCCGGGGAAGGGCAGGAATGGGGAGGTCAGGGCAGGGGACTCCTCAGGGCTGAGAGAGCAGGAAGCATTCCTGACTCCTGAGAGGGTGAGAATGGCAGCACTGGCCAGGTACTCAGATCAACCCCATGGGTGGGAGGGAGGTGCTGTGAATGTCAGCACCCCTAAATCCCCCTGCCTGACCGACTGACATCTCCTGCAGATCAGGCTTTGAAAGCTACCTCTGCCTCTGACCTTGGCCAAGTGAACATGTGCCTGCCTGTAATATGAATTCATGCATATGCATTCCTGTGTACATGTGTGTGCATGGAGTGTTTGTCATTGTGTCTGTGTGTGTATGGGGGTGTTTATGTGGATCTGTGTGTGTGTGTCTATGTAAATCTGTATGTGTCTGTGTATGCACTGAACATATCTGCATACCTATACACACATTCAGGGGTTTCTAGATGAAGGCCCAGGGGTTCTTCAAAGCTCAGTACCCAGCAGAACCCTGGCTCCAGGCCCTGAGCACCCAGTCCAGGACTCTCTCCACTGTCCATGCAGCCCCCACTACTATGACAGAAGAGGACTCTCCACCAGACCACCTTTCTCTCCATCTCCAGCTGCAATCAACATAAATGCTGCTCTAATTTCTCCTCGCTTTCAGTAATTTACAAAATGGTTTCATTTATTCCTGGCAAAATGGTTTCATTGGCTCCTCGTCACTTTCAGTAATTTACAAAATAGTTTCATTGGTTCCACAGAGTCAGCTCCGCTGCGTTTCTCCTGGAGGATCTTTCAGAAGATGATGTGGCAAACTGTTATCTTGTGGTTAAGCAAAAAGGTGGTAAAAAGACTAAAGCATTGTGCAGGGGCGGGGGTGGATGGAGATAAGAAAGGTGTTCATGAAACATGAGAGTGATTACAGGGAGATGACGTGAACAAGTCATTTAAGCAAATTCTTCACTAGTTCCATCCAGTAATAGACCAGCCTCATCACCTCCTGTGATAGCATTTTTTTCCCTTTTCTCCACCCAGCCCTGAGCCTGTCAGCCCAATAACCTCTGCCCAGGAAAATGGGACTGACACCAGTAGAAAACTCAGAGATTATTTAGTGTAAAGCCAGACATGATCAGGCCCTCCATTCAGCTGTGGAATGTGGAATTCCATCCAGAGATGCAGGTCTTGGCCATACAGGGGGTGGGGCTAAACTTCCCCCAAATGCTTTGGGGGGGAGACCAAGGTCAGCGACTCTGCCCACGCTGACTCTTCACTGCCCACTTCCCTGCTCAGCCTCTCTTGCCCCCTAGACACTGGCTGTTCCCACACAGTCTCTCTCAGGACAGGAGACAGATGGCTGTTCTTGCTTTTATTTTCAGCCTAGCATTTTTGCACAGATGACTTTCACAACTTTCATCCTAATTTGATGAGCACCTGGGAATTTGGTGCCACTCCTTCTTCCACCTTTGGGAGGTGCCCAACTCCCTCCATGTGTCCCTGAGATGTCTCAAGGTACATGCAGCGACATGAGGAAGGAGAGCCTGGGCAGTACAGGGAAGGCACCACTAGCCCTTCCTCTGCCCGGCTATTTGACACCACCCACTGCCCCCTACCTGGATAAGAATGGTTCTAGCAGCTGGTAACCCCAACAAGGTCTGCACTTTACGAAGCCCCTCACAGATCCTGTTTCCTGAAGAGTGAATAGGACAGAGAGCATCATGGCCTTTGTTCTGCAGGGGTGGACTCGGGCTTGAGAGGCACTTGGCCCAGCCGAGTTACAGTCAGTGCACGGACAGTGAAATTCCTGAGCCCAGAGCCCAGGCACTCCCCACTTGGCCTGCAGAGCTGCTGTGAGGGACTTTCCTGCTGACCCAGCAACTGTGCTGGTAAAGAGAGCAAGTGATTTGATCATTCACAACCTCCCATTAACCAGGAAGACTATTCACTCCATAAATCTTAACCATAGGTAGTTTCTATAAATTCATACTATTTTACCAACATCTCCTATAGGAGGCTATTCTAACACAGTAGAAAACTAAAGAATGAAAATATATATTGCAGCGTTACAACAGTAAAAAACATAACCATC